TCAGCCACCCTGGATTATCAGAATACAATCTTCTGAAAAATACTACTATGTATTTCAATTATACCAGTCTTTTAAATGTGAGTCACAACCCCATAGGCTGTCTCTCTCTCTCTCTCTCTTTCTCTCTCTCTCTCTCTCTCTCTCTCTCTCTGTGTGTGTGTGTGTGTGTGTGTGTGTGTGTGTGTGTGTGTGTGTGTGTTTTATATAAATCTGAGAAGGGAGTTGGGGGGTAAAACACCATGGGACAGGACAGCTCACACAAAAAACAAAAACAAAAATCACAGTAGCAAAAAAAAAGGTTTCTGAGTGCCTAAGGACCAAAAGTTAATTCAAAATCTGATGCAAAACAAACTGAAGGAGTTTCTTGAAGTGCTCACCAATGCTGTGTCATGAGACTTCACTTTGCACCAAACATGGGGTCACAGCATGGAACACAAGAATGCTGCTTAAACACCTCAGTTCACATTTGACACTACTGTAAGTTATGAACTGCAGCGTTTTTCCTGTACATGCAGTTTTCCCGCTCTTAGAGAAACATAATATCCTTCTGTTGTTATTGTTGGTTGTTTTTATTTGTTTGTTGGTGGGGGTGGTTGGGTTATTTTTTTGTTTTGGGTTTTTTGTTTTGTTTTTTTGGTTATTCTATACAAGGCTTCTCCTGTGTGGCCCTAGCCCTGGCTGTCCTAGAACTCACTACATAAAGACCAGGCTGTCCTCAAACTCACAGAGATCTGCCTGCCTCTGCCTCCTGAGTGCTGGGATTAAAGGTGTGTACCAGGAAGCCCAGCTCAAGAATAGTTGATTTTAAAGCTTAACATCTGAGTTGCTGACTTGAATTCCATCCAAAGTAATTAATCAAAATTCTGGGTTGAGAGTGGAATAGAATTTCCAACAGTTTCTGAGGTGGCCCTAAGCACATTTCTGCCATTTTTACTACATATTTATATGAAGCAGCATTCTTGGCACTGATGATTGTAATATCAGAATATGGACCCACTGTGGGAAATGCTGAAGATGTTCTACGTCCTAAGGTTTCTAGTCTCCAGGCAAGATTTAATTCTTTTTGCAAATAAATGAGAACATCTATTTCATTGCCATGCAAATTCTCTTCTGTAATAAATGGTGAAGGCGTTCATATACCAAACAACTATTTTAAAATGAGTCACTTCATGATTTATTATAAGTATATGTTTTAGATATCTCAGCTTTACATGCCCTATATGCCAAGAGCTGTTCAAAAATGTGTTAGACAAATGGGAATGCAAGTGGAAAACTTTAAGAACCTCTACGAGTACCCATTATCTCTAACTGCCTATGATGGGTTTAAAAGGCTTTAAAAGTACTTCAACCCTGGAAAGCCAAATGCTACTTGGTATTTTTTTTTTCTGTAAGTTCACTTGTTAACATGAAAGAAAATAGTCTTGAAGAATGGACTTTTTAACTTATAAGACAGAGGCAGGTGGATTCCTAAGTTCCAGGCCAACCTTACCTACAGAGCAAGTTCCAGGACAATCGGGGTACACAGAGAAATACTGTCTCAACAAATAAAAAAGAAAGAAGAAGAAAAGAAAATGCACTTTTAAAAACATATCAGGTTCCTTTTTTGATTAAAAAAAAAAAAATCTTGTTTAGACCAGGCTAGCCTAGAACCCAAAATTAGCCTGCCCCTGCTTCCTGAGTGCTTGGGATTGCAAGCCTGAGAACCAGGACACTCAGCTCAATTGGTACTACTGAAGTCTGGCTTTTCTTTCAGACAATTTTCCTTCTATAAAAACTTAGTGTGAAAGCGCGACACGAACAGGAACTATTTCCCCCTGTTAACTTGTAAGAATACCTGTGGGAAATGTGCTTGTATGACCAGGTGCTGTCATCTGAATAAAACATCACACTGGGCCCTGTAGAGCAGCACTCACAATAGAAATGCCACAGACTACAGCCGCATAGCTGATGCGTCTGTAATCTACTGACAAAGTGTACTCTTCAGCAAAGTGAAAGCAGATGTCAGGTGTGAAGTCAGATGTCTGTGGACTTGTCTTTCTCAGCTCCAAACGCAGTATTAGATACGCTAAATGCACAGCTTATCTATATATTAGACCCACAACTTGGCAATATCATGACAGTTTGGACATGAAGCGTCAACATTCTTATTATAATGCTTGCAAATCAAAAGTTGTTTCTGAAATAGAAATCCTAACTTTGAGCACACAGATAAATGTGGTAACCTGTCTGTCTTGCTTTGGGAATGGTGTCAGAGCTCTTTAAACACACTATAGAAATTCTTTCTCTTGTTTTCCAAGCTGACACTCCTTAGGCAATACTGGAAGATGACCTGATAAAGGAAAATGAAGCCACATTAGGTGTGGATCTTTGTGTCAGAAATTCTGGGATCAGATGCAGCAGATACATGTCACTGTGAAAATGAATAAATCAGGGAAACTTAGTGCTTATGGGACAATGGGTTCTAGCTGCCTGGCACTGTGCAAAGAAAGATCAAGAGGAAATGACAGGCAGGGTTGGAGAGAAGACTCAGCATTTAAGAGTAATGGCTGCTCTTCCAGAGGACCTAGATTCAGTTCCCAGCACTCACGTGGCAGCTCAGAACTCTGTAATGCCAATTACAGGGGATCCAAAACATACTTAAGACATACATGAAGGCAAAACACAAAAATAAAATTTTTTAAAAAAAAGAGAAAGAGAGAAAGGAAGGAAGGAAGGAAGGAAGGAAGGAAGGAAGGAAGGAAGGAAGGAGAAAGGAAATGGTCAACAATCAGAGAAATGGGACAGTAAGTATATGCACGCCAAGCATTGCTCTGTCTGGTCCTCTTTGTTCTACTTAGCATCAAATCAAGTAGCAGGAAAGCTGTAACTGGTCCCAAGTGACGGAGCAAATAAATCAAAGACTAGGATTCAAGGTTGCATCTAAGAGCACAAAAACTATGCCAGACAGTGGCACACTCCTCTAATCCCAGCACTCAGGAGCCTGAAACAGGATGTTCAAGACCATCCTGAGTTATATGAGAAGGTATAGAAGCTGGGCTGAGGCTGTGGTAGAAGAGATGCTGAGCAGGAGCAGGGGCCTAGGTGTGACCTTCAGCACCTCAGAAAAATAAGACTATAAAAATAATGACACTTGTACATGAGGATTTAAGGGAGAGCCAGGACTGATGGCACATGGCCAAAAGAATAGAACAAAAGAAAAAAATTTAACAGTTTTACCAAGTAATGGTAAGATATATATATCATATGTATATAATATATATGATATATATTTATCATATTATCATATATATATTACATTGTATGTTTCCTACAGATAAATACCTCAGCTGTATGCCTAATTAACATGTAGCTGTAGATTTAAGGTTTGTACATGGTAAAAAAAAAAAAAAAAAAAAAAAAACCTTGAAAAGGTAAATACCAAAAATCTAAGGTGGATTAAGAGGATTTATATTAGACTCAAGTTTCTACTTTCATACTCCTATAAGGGAGCCCTAAATAACTTTATCTTGACCTTAACCTATTCTCATGCCAGTAAAGAAATAGGTTAAATGTACAGAAACTCACAGCAGGGTGGTTGCTTCATTATTACTCTCCTAAGTACATTCACCCTTAACTGTTTTCTAAAATTAAGCCTTCTTATAGAACAATTCAAAAATTTACTCTCATCTAGTTATTGTACCCAAACAATGCATTCAGTGCGCTAGAAAATGACTATAACATTATACACTGTGGAAAACTAATCTCCATAGTTAGTCACCCCTGAGAGTTTACTTCTCACTCTACAGAAAAGTGGAATGATAGCACTGTTCTCAGATCCATAAGCCACTAAGACATAAGCAGCAAAGGAAGCACTTGCGCATTTACACATAATTATTCAAAACTTCCCCCAGAAACCTGAGAAATGCCCATCCCACAAAAAAAAAAAAAAAAAAAAAAAAAGCCATCTACAGCCTCATTCTACACGTCCTGTTTTGTTTATATGATTTTGTTTGATTTGTTTTATCTTTGAGCGGGGTCTCACTGTACATAACTGGTTGGCCTGGAATTCCCTATATAGACCAAGCTGGCATAAAACTCACAGAGATGCACCTGGTTCTGTTGGGACCAAAGGGGGGTGGGATCACCACCAGCTGTCCAGATTTCCATTTTAATCAGTGTTCATTCAACACACGGTGCAAAATAAGAGTCCCTCATTAATATACAACCATGTCCTAGTTTTTCATGAACTGTGTGAACAAGGAAGTCGGGTTCATATGCGACCTATGGCAGGACAGCCAGCCACTGAGGGCAAGTGTAGTTCTCTTGGTTAAGTATGCACACATATGGTTTACTATTCTTGCTTATAGCTAAACTGGCAAATGTTACCAGTGACATGTATGATGCTGGGGGCTTCCAACCTGAGAGAAGTTGTGTTTCATCACCACATAGAGACTAGGGAAGCAGTGTATTGGAGAAAGAACAGACAAGTCTCAGGTAAGAACCAATGCAAAGGGATGACATAGAAAATCCCAGTAAACTTCCCAGGACTTCAACATAACTTTTCAGAAAAGCACAGAACGCTGGAGGGCAAATTCGTTCCTGCACAATTCTGAAAGACCTCAAAAGAATTTCAAATATATGCATTTGCCATTGTCTTTATGGGGTCCTATGTGCCCCCCCTTTACATTTTAAAATGTAAAGATTCCTGGAGAAAGCCTAAATTACCTAACACCCTACTAGGGAATGCTACCTAGCAAGACAAGGGACCAGAGAGGAACTATAGCATCAATGTAGCAGTTTCAAGCCTTTATGAAAGGAAATGAGTTCTGTCAGGTGACTACAAAGCAGTTTAAACTTCCAGCCGACTCTATGGACTTCGGAAACCTGAAGGACCAGTGACCTTTGAAGGTGGGTCTTCAGTTTCTGATAAATAGTGGAATTTGGACCCAAGTTCCCAGGTGCAGTTTCCCCTCTGCAAAAATAGTCTTGGCTCCTTCCGCCCCTGAGCGATACTTACTTACCCTTTCTCCCGCTCTTCTTCGGTGAGAAGGGGTAAGTGGTAATATTGTACCCTCGCCCAATTTGGCCAAAATCCTAAAAGTAAAAATGACAGAGACAGGTCCTTTAAAATCCTGTGGCTCGAGCCTGAGCAGCTCCTACATCAGCTGCCCACCACTCCAGGAGCAGCGCTACCTCCCCACCTGCTTTGAGGACACCCGGGGCGGAGAGGAGAGGTCGCCTACACGCCCGGATCTGGGCTCGGGTTCCCTAACTGAGGGAGAGAGAGAGAGGACACACTGAGAGGACAGCCGCGCGGCCTCGCTGGCACACGCGCACGCACGCATGCTCGCCACGGTCCCGCGAGTAGCGGCCGAGCGGCTGCCTGCCAGCAACGCCCCCTGTCCGAGGCCAACCCCAGGATAAGAGACCCAGCCAGGAACACCGAGGGTCTCCCCAAGTCCACCCACGTGGCTCGCCGCCCCGACCCGCCGCGGCCACCACGTCCCCCCGCGCACCCGCTGCGAAGCTCAGCCCAGGGGAAGTCCCCGCGCCACGCCACGCCCACCCCGCGCGGCTCGCCCCGCCCACCACCGCGGCTCGCCCACCAGCAGCCAGGCAGAAGCGGTAGACTCCGCCCCCTACGGAAATCCCGCCCCCGGAACGCGGCTCGCTGTTGACTGGCAGCCAGGAGTTGGTTTACATCAGGTCGGCGTCAGTACTAAGCCCGCCGGCTGGTAGTTACAGGTACTAGGGCCTTTAAATATAAACCCAGCGTCATGTTCGTGGCTAAAAGGGCAAGAAAAAGCAGCAAAACACCGGAAGCCGTCCTCAGCTTCACCCGGTAGTTGCAGGTCAGCCACCGAGACTGGACTGCTCTTTGTGCTGTTACAGGGGTTTTATTTTTGTTTTGCTTGCACACGGGGAAACTTCCATTTTGCTTCTTCTAGCAAACCAAAGGAGAAATGCAGAACAGTTTCTTTTTCTTTCTGTTTTTTGTTTTGTTTTGTTTTTTTACTTAAGCTTTTGCTCTCTAATTGTACAAAATCTTAACTGTGTTATCACAGCCTACAAAACCAATGTAATGGAAAACTAAATAGACGACGAGATTGGTTCTCATTTTTTACTCCTCCCCAATTGTACCTTTATCTTTTTTAGGTTTATCTTTCTAGATAATGCTGAACTATCATTCTCAAGTATAAGTGCCTAGTGTTCTGACACTCAGCATTCAAAATAATTCTATAGATGGAAGAATGTAAGAGACTTAAATGGAGCCAAGCGGTGGTGGCACTCGTCTTTAATTCCAGAACTCAGGAGGCAGAGGCAGGCAAATATTGAGTCTCAGGGCAACTTGATCTACGGTGCAGTTCCGGGACAGCCAGGGCTATACGGAGAAACCTAGTCTCGAAAATCCTGAATCAGAGAGAGAGAGAAACTTCAGTGGGCTGAAATTACTGGTCTACCAGAGAGAACAAGGTTATTGTCCTGGACAGGATGTGGGTGCAGTTATTCTTATCAGTAGCTGAAATAATTACTGCAAGGTAAGTTTGATCCTGCCAATGCTTCATGACTTAATTCCAAGAGCATATCATGGGGGCCACTTCTGATGACTGTTTGAGCCTATTTACCAATTGGATTAGATTCTAATAGTAGACAGACTCCAAATTAAACAAAAGGTTGGTCCAGTAAGGACCTGACTACACACAACAAATGGGGGGGGGGGTTAATGTACTTGAAAGTAAGTCTACAAAAGGAGCTACTAAGTGACTTTGTCACTAAGGGCATCAAAGATATTTAAGAAGTCAGAGTAACCCAGAAAGTTTGCATCCCTGTTTTACCCAACTGCAAGTCATTCTGGAAAGGACAAAACTCTGAGGTCAGAGCAAAGGGTATATCTTCTAGCACACACCAAAACTCATGGGGACAGAACAGAAAGAATGGTGGAAGACTCACCCTGAAGCACAACTGAAAGCGAGTGAGTCAGTAGATACTGAAGACACAGGATACAGCAAAACACTTGAATCGCCATGAAGAAATGATGAGTGTGAATCACCATGAAGGATGATGAACATGTAGACAAAAAAAAAAAAAAAAAAAAAAAAGAACAAGAAAGAAAACCGAAGCTGAAAGAGATGAATTGTGAATCATGTTCTGAACTTGGGGCCTGGGTAGAGAGGAAGTGTGATATTTTTTTTTTTTAATTATTACTCTGGAACCTGTCCTGTAATTAGCTCTATAGACCAGGATGGCCTCTGTAGATCCGGCTGCCTCTGCCTCCCAAGTGCTGGGATTAAAGGCTTGCGCCACCAACTCCCAGTAGAAGTGTGAAATTTTTAAGTCATTTATTTCATGAGAGATTTGTGTTGGATACCACTCCGGTATCCCTCACCTTGAATTATAAAATGTTGGCATTACCATTCAGAGAACAAGTTAAGTTTTTAATAGAAAAAAATTTTTTAGCATTCACCATGTACTATTTAACCATTCTTAGTATAAAATCTTTTGAGTTCTATAGATATGAAAAAAATCTACCTTCAAGATACAATAAACTTACATGTATATATAAATATATGTACACACAAAATACACATTTGCCATTGGTAAGCAAATACTGTAAAATGTCATAGAATATTCTCAACCTTTTTTTGGGGGGGTAGGGGTAAGACAGGGTTTCTCTGTAGCTTTGGAGCCTGTCCTGGAACTCACTCTGTAGACCAAGATGGCATCAAACTAACAGAGGTCCACTTGCCTCTGACTTCCCAGTGCTGGGATTAAAAGCATGCACCACCACCACCAGGCAAGAAACCTTGTTTTTATTAATACATTTATCCCTTAGCACTCATATATGCATATAATGCACTCTGGTTACCTTCCTCTCCCCCATTTACCTCTTCTTATACTTGCTAGTGTTTGTATTGCTTAGTTTCTCATAGAGTTTAACTGGAGCCAGTTGTGTAGCCCTGTTTGCAGTGGACCATCAGAGACTAGTGGACTCACCAGTCATTACATAATTGAATACTATGCCTCTGTCTCCTATAATCTATTAGTGGCCAATAGGTCAGAGATAAGCGCAGGACCCACTGAGTCCCTCCGTTTCATACTGACTGACTGTTTGGAATGTCCAGCTTATATGGTCCACAGCAGGCACAGCTGCTGTGAGTTCATGCTTGTTGTGTCCACGCCATGCTTTGAAGATGGCATTTTGCAGCCTTCTCCCTATCTTCTGTTTCTTACAGTCTTTCTGCCTCCTCTTCTGCAATGTTCTCTAAGCCTTAAGTGTGTAGTGTGCACGTTTGTTTAGGGTTTGTCCCTCAACTCTTCTTTATATGCTTCTTGTACAGTCATGAGTCTCTGTATTCATCTTCATGCACTTCAACGGGAGGCTTCCTGGCTTAATGGCTGACAGTAGCCTTTGTCTTTGGGTAACTCTAATTCCAGGTTATCTAACTCTGTCTTCTGTCCTCCATGGGCACTGCACTCATAAACACCGAAACACATTCACACACACAGTGTCAAACAAAGCCAATCTGACAGGCAAAATTTAACAGCCATGTCATTATTGCATGGATGGGTACAGTTACAAGTGGTTATGAACTGCCAGACATGGATGCTAGGAATCCAAGTCTTCTCGAATTGCAGTCCTCTTAACTACTGAGCCACCTTTCCAGCCACTGTAATACCAATGATGCCCTTACCCTCCCTGCCAACCTGCAAAAGCTTGACACTGACAGCTAGTCAATAAGGAGGAATTTACCAGCTCAGTTACCAAGGTGATTTCTCTGATATCTTGGGAATCTCTCTGTCTCTGTCTCTCTCTCCTTCCTTTCCTCTCTTTCCCTCCTTCCCTCTCTCTCTTTCTCTTAGCTCTATCACACACACATACACACACATACACACACACACACACACACACACACACACACTTGTGTCATGGTTGGGAGAGTGGATGAAGGCATTAGTGGTCTTATTAGTTACTCTTGGCTGCTCAGACCTCCATTAAGAACTTTTTTCCAAATACCATTCTGCATTTCATTTTTTGAAAGTCTTGTGAACACACACAATAGGTTGCTAACAGTTGAAATTATAGTCCATCACCAACTCTAAGATACAGCAGAAACTCTCAGACTAATATCCAATCACATTTCTAAAAGTTTCTCAGACCTTTTACTATTACAGCTCTGAGGAAATTGATGTCCTTATGTGAACTCATATGAAAACACTTGCCAGGTGGTGATGGCACGCGCCTTTAATCCCAGCACTCAGGAGTCAGTGGCAGGTGTATCTCTGTGAGTTCCAGGCCAGCCTGGTCTACAGAGTGAGATCCAGGACAACCAGGGCTGTTACACAGAAAAACAAAAAACAAAGAAAGAAAGAAAAAAAGGGGGGGGGGCTAGAAAGATGGCTCAGAAGTTAAGAGCAGTGGCTGATCTTCCAGAGAACCTGAGTTCAAATCCCAGCACCCACTTGGTGGCTCACAACCACCTATAATTAGAGATCTGGTGCCCTCTTCTGATGTGCAAGCAAAAAATGCAGATAACTGTATACATAATAAATAAAATCTTTAAAAAAATAAAAAACACTCAAGAATTTATATTCTTTGTTCCAATTTGAAGTTTTCTAATTTGAATTATATCATTAGAAAATGAAATATCAGTATATAGTTATTAATCCAAATCAATGATGTGCATTTCCATAAATAATATAAAAGTGAACTTAGAAAAAAATCACAAACTAGAGTTTTATTACCCAAATTAACTTTAGTTTCTAATGTTACTCTGGAAAAAATAGATTGATAAACTTTCATTATTATTATAAATGAAATCTTATATCTTATAAATCATTCATTTGTGCTTTTTAAATGCTTATTTCAAAGAATAGATGCCAGGGCTGGAAAAAGGAACATCTCATTTCAAGTCTGACACAAGAAATATGCAATATAAGCAGGGGACATGGTGTTACAAGTAAGGTCTCTGTTCACAAGAGCAAGTATAGAGAACACAGAAACTTACATCCTTCAGCCAAAAATACAAAAATTTAAACATAAAAAAAAGAAAGAAATGAATGTGGCTATTTGAAACCAAATATAGTCAAATTAATTCCTAAGTGCCCCAAACAAGAAAGGCAAAAATGGATGGAGGGAGAGAAAGAGGGCAAGGAGGAAGGGAATGGGGAAGGGTCAGTCACCGAACACAAACTCCTTCAAGCTTTGGTTGCAGCAAAAGAGCTAGGACTTACTTTGGCTTGCCTTTTTCAATGGACTTGAATTTCTAGAGACCAAATAGTTGTTCAAAAAAAGTTGTTCTTTGGGAAGCCACCATTCAGCAATCTTGCATCTAAAAATAGCAGCTTAAGAAATTGTTGTGAAAGTGTGAAAGTATTAGGTGGGTGGTTGATGAGAGACTTTATTTGCAACCAAGCATTTACAGTCTAAGCACTGAGACAAGTGGGACCCCAGGCATTATCTTTGCTGATCTAATATCATCTGAAGTATCACAAACACCAATAAAGTATTCTTGCCAAACCAAAAAGGGAAATGAAAGCAGAATCTAATTAAGTCTTAAAATGGATGTCCCTACTCGTAACATGTCCCATCCCAGGCTTATGGG